GAAGTCAGACGCCTTAACCATTAGGCCACAAGGCCGACATATGATCTAGTTGATTGTGAACATTTTAACAGAAAGAAAAAAAAAACTGATAGGATTAGAACCTGTCGTCTCCTGATCCGGAATGAGATGCCTTTTAAAGTATTTACTAATAACGATTACTTTTATATTAGATTCGTAATCCAAGAAACATCAATAAATTGTATCATTTAATCAAAATTACGTTTTACTGACTGATTTTTAGTAATAACGAAAACGAATGACTTCGATATTGAAAACAACAAAATATATACAATTTATGTCAAATAAATGCAATCGCAATCAACAATAAACTATATGAAACAACGATATGCAGTCTTTGACAGGAACGACTATCATCATACTGCATATTATTCTAGTTGCATTTTCGAAGACAATAATTCAAGTTGTCAGAATAGTGCGACTTTCTGATGTTCTTTTGGTCAATTTCATAGATCATTCTACTAGTAACAACTAGATAATATATTTATTATCAATCTACTTAAATATAACAAGTAAATGAAGAAAATCAACCAAAAATACGTTTGAATTAGATTGTATCCATAGTGAGACTAATTTAAAAAGTCTCGATTATTAATTCTGTGTCAAAATCCTCAAATCTCCGAATATGAGAAAACAGTGAATAGTTTACTTTTTTCGATACAAAGACTTTGTATTTTTAAATATTCGTCCCATATTGAATGTCTGTCTTATCTGAGTGTTAATTAGAAAATTAGCGTGTGTCAAAGATTTTAGATGCTTTCAGAATTTGAAATCGATAAGATACTCAGGTAACTAGATATTCATTTGAATATTTCATATGTCAAATATTTTTTGATCAGTGCAGGTAGTTTTCAGTCTAATCACTAGATTATTTCTATGATCAAATACTATATAAGTACTTGTACATGTAACAGATGAGCTAGGCATCCAAGCACTTGCCTATGTGCGATAGTAGAGTTAGAGAGAGAGTCTGAACAAATGATTATGATAAACTAAAATCACATTTATTTGAATAATATGATATTTATTTTGTTTTGAAATAAAAATAGCGCTAATATAACTAATTATAAATAATTATATGTTCCAGACATGAAGAGAACGCAGAAAAATATGAATGATAAAAAACCAGCGTATTATCGATTTCAAGTTTTTTATTTGAAATATAGAAACTTCAAGCATAAAATCTCGAAAAACAATATACTAATATTTATGACCACATATCATCCATAGAAATACACTAATTCGATATGTTAATTCAAAGAATAGGGTCAAAATCTCACAAGATCGAAGACATTATTCAGCTATGCATGATATACTTGAAAACTTTGTGGTACTTGATAAAATATATAGATCGAAATGATTGCGTTAAATTCGCGACGACACTATTAAGAATTGATTGTTATAGAGATACTTGTTTATGGTCCTTTTATTTTGTCCTATTATCAATCATAATGACATTCAAATACTATTCAGGCATGAAGCAGATTCAGATTGCAGGAAATATCACAGAGTGGCTCACTTGAAACGCTTATTTGTGTGATAAAAAACGAGCCACTCAAAAATATTGTGTGTTGCATGAAGCATTGATGTTAGTGAGAGCTGTGACTCGTACAGATTCGTTCGTTTGTTTCAGTGCTTTGTTCTTGATCTGCACAGATTTTGTTTACCGATAAGGTAATTAATCATTTCGATAAGAAGACATGACATTTTTAAGGTTTTCTCAGTGACACAGAGTTATGAAATATTCCATTTGAAACTGAAACCTAATTTTAGATGTTTTGTCCTGAAACAATACTGATAGGTGTACAATCGAAAAGCTAATTTCAATCTAACAGTCCGTGATAAAGTAAAATCGACTTAGATTCGTATCGGCAGAGACATCAACAGTGTTGCAACCAATAGCAGCAAGCGGTCGATCTTGTAGAAGATTTCTACATCGATCAGTGTAGATTTTTTTCGAATTTTGTATGCTTTTTTTTCAAAAAACTGATCATAAAGGTATTTTTTTGTGCAGATCAAACCAGTTTTACTGATGTCAATCACTATTCCTATGGGGAAACATGCATTAGAATATTTCTATTAAGTGAATATTTATCAAAATATGCCTAATATATTTCACCAAGTCATTTCGATATCAAGTTATAGTATTGAAACAAAATGATATCATTCTTCGTCTTTGTAATTTATTACATATTTAATTGTCATTTCATATTATTGATACTGTCTCTTTCACAGAGACAAAAGAGATAACATATAAAACCTATTGTGAGATGCAGAGTACACTACAGTTGATGTAGAATTTCTAGATCTAACGAGCGTTTCATTGGTATGCAAAGTTAATATAGAATTTGTAGTGATATGAAATTTTACGTCCATCGATAGATGCTAAAAGAGAGAAAACTTATAGAAATCGGTAGTGAAGAAAAAATCTTCAGTGCAATCTCTATGGAATTAAAATATTAAACAAGATGGAGATACTTCAACTCATTTGGAAATCCGAGAGAAGAAAAGAAAAAATTCCTTACTTCACCATACTCTAAGGATATGTCAAAGCTATCCTCTAGAGCTTCTTAGCTGTTTCGATTCTACTGTCAATGTGTGTCACGAGCATGCTCGTTTGAGTTCATTTATATAAGTCTGTGCGGCACTAAAGCCCAAATAGTTCATTGTACTTAGAGATTTAAGTGTCAATGAAGTACAACGAAGTATTCAGGCTTTATTGCCAAACACACTTATATAAAATGAGCTCAAACTAATATGCGTTCGACGCATATTAATATTAGACTTGGCATAGCAAAAAAGTTATAAACGATAGCTTTGGCATATCCCCTAAATATGCTGAAGTAGGAAATTGTTTTTTTCTCCGTTGCGAAAACTTCATCATCTAAATGAAAGACCATGAGGGGACCGAAAACCAGCATATCGGAAAATCCGCTAAGCTGTGACACACGCATTGAAATCTCTGTTAGTCTGACTGTAGGTTACAATAACATCAGCATATTTATCGCGGTCTTTGGAATAAGCTGAAGGAGATGGAATCAATTTTCTCGCTATATACTTCAGCATTCATTGACAATCATGTTTCACAAAAGCATTAGAGTAATGAAACAGAAGTCTTACATAATGTCTGTAGTGATTCAAAGATAGGTATGACTAAGCAAGAGATTCATTTGGCTCTTATAGGATGGGAAAAGTTAACAATGACTCATGCCGGTCCGGTCTCGTCTAACAGGTTTAGATCGATACCAGTAACGGTAAGAAAAAACCTATCAGTTGCAACATTGACATCAACGCCATTGCTCCTCGTTGCACTGAATGATCATTGGTTCTTTCTAGTTATTATATAGTCACCACTCAAACTCAACTACTGGATCCATCTGGCTTCAGCTCTCGTCTCGTATCCACGTCAATTCATTCTAGTATTCTTCTCATCAATCCTATTCAATTATCAGACATATAATGCTGTCTCGTTTTCGTAGTTCAAAACGAATCATCATCCAACTGTTATCTGTTTTATAGATTTTCATTTCTCCACCTGAACAATCCAATGATAATGTTCAAAGAGAAAACATGACGAGAACAATAATCAATTCAATTGACTGATTCGTCAATCTTAAAAGTGATGCCTCATCGAGTGCTGTACTGTTCTATGTGATTTATTTGCACTTATACTAAAGTTCGTACTTTTAGTATGAGGTTTAATTCACTATATACACAATAAAGTGCACTTTTCCTCGTGATTTATTGAATAGCATAAAAATAATGAATAGTTTCTGTCTCTTGAAAAGAACCATATGTTTGTGTTGAGTTAATGTACTTTTTTGCCAGAGACCTGACATCGAAATGCAAAAAAAAGCATGAATCAATAATGAGTAACAGAACTAGAATATTGCTGTGTCACTTTTTCTATGAGACATGTCAATTGCAATCAAGCAAGAAAAAGTACATTCTTTTTCTTTTTTTTCTTTCTCTTCAGTTCTCAACTCAACGACGACTATATAAATATAGCGCATGGAACCGTCGTCTAATACACAAAAAACAAGTGCAACAACAACAACAACATGGTTAAACTCATCATTTTCATCGCTCTCGTAAGTTTCTTCGGTACTTTCTGGTAGTAAGATCTTTAAAACATTTCGACTTTAGTTATGTTTGGGATTGATCTCAGCTCGTGGTCCAGGTGGCTTTAGACGACCAGGTGGCTTTGGACCATCCGGTGGTGGTAATTATCATGGTGGTCCAAGTGGAGATAATGGCAACGCACTAGCATCGACACTGTGTGCCAATGACACCTTGGCTTCATTATATGTCTCCCAAAACCAAGCACTTATTACAGAACTGAATAACAATGGTTCCTTCACAGATTTGGCACAAAAACGAGTAAAAGAGTGGGCATATTTTCAGAATGCTACTAACAATGAGCTTCTTGCATCGAACTGCACAGAATACTGTGCTGGTTTGAATGCAGCTCGTGCAGATGATATGGCTGCCAAAAATCAACGAGACCAATACACAAAGATCGGTGAAGGTCGCTTTAAAAACATTCTTCGAAGTCTCGGGATTGGTGTGAGAGGTGATAGTCATGAAAAATGAATACCAATGCATCATTTTCTATAGAACTATTAAGTGTACACATATTAACTCTTCTTTCATTGTTTTATTTATGCAATATATTGCTTTTCTTCTTTTTCATGATTGAAATAAAATATCAACTATCAAAGTCTTTTCTCGATTGGATCAGTGATTGTTGTTTGATAGAAATAAGGATGAATCGATAGTTTCCACAATTTTGTTTTTCCTGAGAAAAAGCGACAAAGAAAAGAAAAGAAAATTTTATTTTTATGCTGATGTCTAACAATTCTATTACGCATGAGCATTCCAGTAATCGATTATTTACATGTTGTCATTCACTGATTCACCGCTACTGATTGTCAATACAAATCGAAACCTCTATAAACCGGTAATCTTGCCACCGTTGTCGAATATGGATATCGGTGTGAGATGTGAGAATCCTCTTACGTGTTTCATACTGTACCCCCACTCCACTCATACTCTTAGATGTATTTGGTTTCTTCCTACTGAAGTGTAAGAAGACTAACGCAAATAAACGTTTCAGTAGCGCTGTAAGAAAAAAAAACATGTTTGCTTTTTCTCACCGAGTGTAATTGCAAGGGAAAAGGAAACATCATATGTCGCAGCAAAATATTACAAAAATCGATTATTCATGATGTTATTATGTGTATACTGTCAAGAAAGAATCGATAAGTTGGTTTTTTCTAAGTATATTGCAAACAAAGGTTATATAAGAATACTTTAGGTTTTTATTTACAGTTTATCTTTTCTTCGAGCTTTGTTCTGCAATGGGTGACAATAAATCAAAACTTGCCAAATCACATATCCGAATTGTGCTATGTGGTCGTTAGGCTGAAGGCTACCACGAAACTAAATTTATGACGCACGATGCAATTTACGAATATGATTTACTTTATGCCCTTCAAGAGGAAATTCATGATGAATCATACTTGTAAGCTATTCCAGAAGTTTTGTGCTACTATAAAAATTTTTCTAGTGGGACTGCATGTTCTCCATTACTACGCGATAACGAACTTCTAATGCCTAGCAACTGAAACCACAAATTTGTTATTCATTATTCGAATGTATAAAACACAGCTGTTCAAAATTGTACCAAAAAATTAAGTCTGCCCGACATTTTTCTTATTTTATTAAAGATATCAATTTATTCGAACATTGTAATGAAAATGCTTTAGATATGATCTGTAATTATCTCAAAAATCCAATAAATTACCAATTTGAATCATCAACAAACAAATTTTATTATCATTTTTTGTCAATTCATCTTCAATGATATTCGTTTTCATCTAATTGAGCCGACAGGTAAAATGATTATTGAGTTTCATCAAATTCAATTGATACAGTTTGACGAAATCAATTCGATCCGAATACCGGGTAAATTTGATTCACTATTAAATCAGCTGTTCTATCAGTTGTATAAAGTTGAAATAAATAACCAATGATGGACAAAGTGGAAGAATTATTTTCTCAATTTAAAATAAGTTGTTAGTAATCGAAATGATGATGACGAATTTGATTTGAGCGGTGTTGGTATTAACGATGTTTATTTTGTTTTGCAAGATTTTGCTTATGAAATTCAACGAGAATGGAATACTATTGATTATCTTATGAATAATAACTCATTAATACGCTTTATATACTACAATCAATCGTCTACAGCCAGTTATGCTATTGAAACCTGTGGAAAAATGATTTATGATCGAAATGTTCACTTTTTGAGAGACTATTCATTGACTCAGATTCTATTCAATAGTTCATTTACTACTACCATGGTTGATGAAAAGAAACATATTCAAGCAATGGTTAAAGCGTCTTTTTTTAAAGAATCTAGAGAAATACAAGAATCCTGCCTAATTAACATAAATGAAAGAGAACAGCTATCATTCTGTAAAGCACAATTGATTTCAGATGTTACCTCACATCATCATGGATGTTCATGAATTCGTGGATATCAGTCTGTCAAAATCGGGAAGTTTATTTTCAACCAGTGTTAAAAAATCCAACGGCTGTAGATGCGGACGATTTTTTCGAATATTCTGCTGTCCTTGCAGCAGACAAACATGAACTATGTAATTAGAGACAATTGTTGTCACTTGAGCATATCAGAGCAATATCATCTTTTTTATATTGAATATTAAAATACTGAGTCGTGCTAAACCTTCACTAAGGTCGAGTTATAATGCCGCTCCATATAGTTTCAGAAAATACTGTTGGTTGAATAGTAATAATAAAAACAAGTCCTTCCAAAAATGAATAAGAAAGAATTGAGGCAGCACTTAAGAGATAAAATAAGAAGCTAGCTTTCTCGTGGACCTACACATATTCTCTATCTTGTTATTGACTATTTTTCAAGTGCACGAAACCAAAGCTCAGATTGAAATAAAAAAAATTATTGATTGTTGACTTGGAAGGTGTTGATATAGGTTGGTTTTCTATTCTCACTCACATCCCATATTTACATTAATACTCTACCAACATCCCATCGTAATCTCGAGACGGTTTAATGTTTATCAATAAGAAGATTCTTACGATAAATATGAACGAATTTTATTTCATATTTCTATTGGAGCTATTTTTTCTATTAAATTACAAAACTTTGTTGAAATATAATTATTGCAAATGTTACTAGAGCTTTCAGACTAGATATATAGTCCAACATGAGTATATGTAAATGTCAATAAAATTGTTCATATGTCTGATAATAAAACAAGCTCTGATAATCAATTACTATGCTTAAACAAAAATGTTCTTGACGAAATATTGATTGAAGTAGTGAATTGACTTAGTTTTTGGAAATTTTAGTTTGCATCATAATTTATTTAAAAAATGGTAAAATATTATGAATTAAAGATCTTATATCCTGTCGCTTATTTTTACTAATTTGAACATCATCATTTTTTCTAAGAAAACGAAACAGACAAGCATTTTTCAAGTCCAATATTGATCAATTATTTAAAGAAGAAACTAACTCTCTGAATGAAAGACATGTTTTATAATTTCAAACAATTGTTCTTGTTATTATGATAATAAAATAAGTAACATTGAAATAAACCAACTTTAATTGCGAATAGAATTCTGAAATTGAAAAGAAAAGATGAGAAGAAATTTAATAGGATATATCATAAACATTAATTAAGTTTGATGAATATTCTTTAAAGTAATACGTAATGCAACGAAGATTTCTTTCTCAATATCAGTTCCATTTTGTGGAATCGAAAGAAAAAAAAATATGAACGATGTTAAACAAAGATACCATATTACGTTTCACGTCTTTCTTGAAGTTGTAACTGACACACATTTCTTTCTCGTCATCTATATTCATGACACAGAATGGAATAGTAGAACGTTTGTGGATGAGCCAAATTCAATTTCTTTTTTTTCTGTCATAATAATGTTACTTGTTTAATAGAAAACAAAACATATAATCAAATCGCCAACTGAATGGTCATCATTTTTTATGTTTAATCTAGAATAGTATCTATTTTGCATAACATTGCATCTGTATCTCAAATAATTGTACCTTTTGAAGGAAGTAATAGAGGGTAGATTAATCATGAATGTCATTAAGAGTATGAAGACCTTGTGTCCTTCTCAAACAAAACTGAAAGCCAATTGATATTCAATCCTGAGTTGATGTTATTTCATTTGAGAAAACGTTTACTCCGACTTACATTTATGAAATAAAAAATCTTTTAATATTAAACAGAGAATTTTAAGAAAAGAAGTATGTCATCTTCGATATTCTCACTTCTAGCAATTCAACTGACTCACTATGGAATACCTACTATAATAATTTTGGACAACATTGGCAACATCTTTATTGTGATTCTGTTCAACCATCATTGTCAGAACTCATACTCGACATTTCTATTATGAGCAGCAGTGATGAATAGTGCATCAATAATATTTAATATGATCTATATTGTCTATAGTTTAAATTATAGAGACTCAACAAATAATTCTCTTGTTCTGTGCAAATTACCTTTTTATATGCCTCAAATATGTAGTCAAACAGCTAGATATCTCATTGTACTTGTACGTATTGATCGATGTATTGTAACAATGAATCGTGCTCGTTTCTCACGAATCATTAATCGGGTAATGATAACACACACTCTTTGATTGGACTTCTATTCATTTTCTAGTGTATCTTTCTCATTCATTCATTTATATTGACAACAATCAATAATGGACAATGTGGTCAATTTTATTTGTCTTATGATATTTGTTTGTTTATTTCCATTAGCATTCATGTCTGTATTTGGTTTTTTGGCCTATCGAAATATGAAGCGGTTACATACTCGCGTACAACCGATTGGCAATATTTTCGATAATAGTGTGGGTAATATTATTGTTCATCGTCAAGATCGAGCACTTTTAATAATGACATTTGCTGAAGTATTTATCTCTATAGTGGCAACACTTCCATATCCAATCATTATGTTGGAAATAATAATGATCGATTGTATGGATATAAGTAAAAATGTCAAATATCGTGAAATCGAAAACTTCTTTTATACTCTGACAATAACACCATTATTTTGAACTGTTCTGTTCCCTTCTACACATACATCGTAGTGTCAAAAAGCTTTTCGTCAGGATTTCAAGAAGCTTTTCAGCAAATGTAGATGTCGATTGACTAGACTAGTGAGCTCTATGTTGAATCAAAGATAAATGCAAGAGTAATTATAAAAATTAGTCATTCTCACTTGTACTACGAAAAATATTGACATTCAACTTATTGCTACGAATTTTGTTTTATTCATATTCACATCTTTATCTCAAATAATCAACATATGAATTTGTAAGACGCAATCTCTTTCTTCTCAATCGGTGTCATTAATTGAAAGCAATTGCATTCTAATATTATTTACTTAAGTGTTAGTTCACCATGTTTAATAATTATTCTATATTCATCTGAGCACCTTTGATCAAAAAATAGTTGTCATTAAGAAATTCCTATTTGATGTTATATTGCCATAGTCTACATTATTATCCTT